AACCACTCTCTGGCGCACGGCACTGTTAGACCTCTTGTCTGTTCTTGAACTCCACCTTGACGTAGTAGATCCCGAACATAACCTGCCTGAGAGATGTGGATTCCGTCTTGGTAGTTCCTCAACTCCATGCCCAGGAACCTTATAAAGCCATCGCCCAACATTTCCAAGGACGTACACTTCCATTCACTGACCAACCAAGCATACATACTGCGAACAATGGCACCGGTACTCAGGAACAGGATGTCATCGACGTAGACCAGCATCACCCCTTGCACTTCGGGCTCCCCCTCGTACTTGATGAGCCACACATTTTCGTCTGTCTCCAGGCACTGCAATGTCAGTATTCGGTCTTCATGTCGAATCTTCGCTCCCCTGAAACGACCGTCACGGAACCCTCCCCATAGTCTAGGGGCCTCTCTCAAGCCATAGAGCACTCGCTCTATTAGCCACAGCTCTCCTTGGAGAGCTTCCTGCGCCATGACCACCACCGACGGAGGTTGTAGTGCGTAGAGCTTATCTCCTGGCATAGGGGCTAGCGTGAACGCGTTGGAAACATCAGTCCCCCCTGCAGTCCAGCGTCGATAGATCGCGTAGGCAACAGCAAACCGAAAGGAGTCGGCTGTAGTACCCGATGCGTAGACCGCCATGCCATCCTGGGGAATGTAGTTACCGCATACCACAATCCTACACTTCCTTCTGAAGTGTCCAGCCTTGGTGTCCATCTGGTCCGCTGGAGGCTTCGCTGTAAAGACTCCTTTTCCAGGGAGAATCATTAGTCCTTCAGCTTTGAGTCTTCGAGCCTCCTCTGGCCCGATCTTTCGCACCGTGCCACTGTCCATCAGTGCTCTGACTTCCTTGGCTATGGCTGGCTTCCACCTGGTAAGGTACTTCTTGACCTCCGGCAGACTCACATTGTGAACCACCTCCAAGGGTTCATGTAAAGCTTCCAAAAGAGCCTCCACTTCTACCTCTCGGGATTCTCCAAGGTTCACCTTCAGGATCTTCTGCAGCATTGCTTCCTGTTTGTAAAACATGTCGCTGCTATAGTCCTCATACATCTTCTCCACGTAGGTCTGAAACTCATTGGTCTTC